AAAATCTGTGAAGGAACAACCCTGTTCCTCCAACAATGGTCGGTGTGATTTGTCTTTTAAAACTAAAGTCATCAACTCCCCCATCTAAAAATAAGCCCATATTCGAGACTTATGATAATCTGTGAACCTACGTTTACGCAAAAAATGAAGTGGTCAATTTGAGGACAATCATGAGGTCCCGAGCTCTGAAGTCTATCCGTTACCCGACGAACGAGTTCGGTAGCACAAAGATTTCTCAAACTTTTACAATCTGGGAAATTGCAGATTTTGCCTAAAAATAAGGGGACCAAATCACAAAGTTGTATCTGTCTGTACCATGTTTGTATTAAGAAAACAGAAACTAAACACAGGGAATCACAAGTATGGATGAGAGATGATATTTTTCCAGCATGTTTTAGAACGTGTTTTATTTTGACCGTCTGTAAAGTATCAGTTTAAAAAGTTAATTTAGAAGTACCAGTTATTTAATAGAACGGAAACTAACTGAATGTTTAAACCAACATATTGCAAAATCTCTGAGTACCATTCGATCAATTCTACTGCTGTATGAATAGGTGCTCTCAAAGCAGCCCCGAACCCCATCGTTTTTCTATGAATCAATGAACAAGATTGTCACATCAGATGGAAAAATCCAGATTCTTCACACAGAGCCCTTGTTTGCCGGTTAGCCTAAACAAGCCAGTTGACTACCAATAAGAATGGCCTAAATTGAAAGAATTTTAACATTCGAAAAAAACAATCAAATCCTTAACCAACAAACAACAGATTTATTTTAGGGCGTACTTTTTATAATTTAAGATTCTACGAAATTCGTGTCTGTTCCTCCCAATCCAACACTGATTGTTTCGAATGTCAGGGGAAGAAACGTTTGGGATAAACATGGTCGAATGATTTACACCAAAACAAATCCATTTTCGCTATTTTTGAGATGTTCCTTTTTTATGGAAATCCAAACAATTTAGACTGGCAGAAGATGCTTTCCATCAGGAGACCGGGCCCAGGTTCCACTAAATCAGTACACGGTCTGCAAATTTTCAGTTATTTATTTTAAGTGTGACAATTATTTTCCTTTTTTATTATTACACTTGTGGGGCCCACGCTGTTAATTGTTGAAAACGTACCAGGTTGTATGAGCCTAAGGACAAGAATAAGTGAAACTTTCGGATTTGAAAAGTGAATAGACTTTGAATATTGATTCAATGCCAACGGTCGCATGTGTTTGACGTTCTCGTTTGTCAGTAGATTCAGTGATATTCATTCAAGCAGGCATATTTGAAACGAAAAGTTAAGTTCAGTGTACTGGCAGATCAAAACAGCGAGAAGGAGTATTTTGGGTGCGGGACTAAGGTGAAGCGATTGGACTTGTGCACCGGTGTGTGCCTGTGTGTACAACTGTTGAAGACTCAAATTACCAATCCCCTAATAACGAGTAACCTAATCGATTGTTGATTTTGCAAATCCTTTTGTTAGCAGAGCTCAGGCCATCATTGGCGTTTGCCACACGCCTGACCTCGGTTCAATCATCCAAAATCTGTTTCGACATGAACAACGTTAGAAACAACTGAGCCGGAAACCACACCTTTTCCACTGTTTTTTTTCAAACGTTTTTTGATGCTACCTCATTTGACCGACATAANAACCACACGAGTAACTGACCTCGTAAATTATCATGGAAGTGATTGAAAACAACCCAATTTTTCCTAAATTTTACAACAAATCAGAAGGAAAACATATTAGGAAAGTGGCAGAAACCAAATCGGGCAGAATGGGACTAACGTTTGCAGTAACAGTATACTATTTTCATGGATAATGCTGCACTGTGATCATCATATATGTATATACGTATAACAGCAATTTTTACAGATACGGCGTCAGAATAAATACGAGTTGAAAGAGAAGTACAGAAAAAATAACAAGGTAGAAAACAAAAGCGTTTATTTTTAGAGAGGAAAACATTTTCGCTTTTTCACTGCACGCAATTTTAACACTTTTTNCAATTACCGAAGGATTCAGCGTGTTTTGAATCACTGGTGCGTTATCGTCGAGTAAGACGATATCATCGGCATACTTTAAGTCTGTAACTGTATCTTCAGGAGGAAATTCGATGCCAGCGTTCGTTACGTTGAGCAACGCTTTTTGTAGAGCATCATCTATGGCAAACTTGAAGAGAAACAGAGAGACAGAGCAACCCTGCTATACCTCAATGGTCACAAGAAATGAGGTTTGGAATTCACCATAGGCCCTAACCTTCCCCGAGGTCTGATGATAGAGTGCGTTTAGATGCAGGACATAATTCTCCGGTACTCCGTTTCTCAGTGCGAGGTGACCGATGAAGTCGAAAGCCGCTCTTTTGTTCAGAAAGACGACAATAGTTTACCGTCTGAATATGCTGCGGTGTACTAGCAACAGGAGGTGAAAATTTTAACTATCCAACCCGGCCTGCTCTTCGCGGATTTGTCTTTCGCGCAATGGGCTTAGTTTGCCTAATAACACGTAGGCTAAGAGTTTCGGTACTATTTGAATTGAACCTATGCCCTGTGGCTGAAATAGGCGTTGCCATCACACTTATTGAATCTATCAAAACAAAAACAATTGATTATGTGGGGAACTTTGAAAACAGTCTAGCAAGCTCTCACATCAAAGCTTCTCCAACATCGTTAAAGAGACCAGGTTGCAGATTGTCTGTTCCAGACAGCTTGCTGCGTTTCAGGTTTTTTTTTCCTATCTGCACTTCTTTGTGACGTATCGTAGATAGTAGCCAGGATGCACACTCAAGAAAAGTACTTGGAGTATTCAGTGCAAATGGATGGTTGAACTGTGAAGTGAAGAACTCTGCCCAGAGTTCCAAGCGTCGATGAACACTGTATATTAGCATGCCGTCATCTATGCTTATTGTTTCACTAACGNCTGAGGCCCGTAGCACGGATGACTTCGAATGGCTACCGGGTGTTTCCATACCTAAATGCTAATTCCATCTCTTTTGCACGTAGCTTCCACCAGGATTCTTGTTCTTCTCTCGAACATTTTGTGAGTTTATGCTTCAGAGAGAGAGGCGCTGTTTACCATACTCGCTGTCTACCGGAATTGTTTAACGCGCGTCACGAAGTCTGAGAGAGTTTTAGGATTATCAGTGTCGTACAACTTAGTGGATCACACCACAACTGTGTTAACTAGCCGAGTGCATTCCGTTTTGAATCATTGCCCACTTTTGTTCCACTTCTCTTGGTGGGGAAGTTGGGTAATTGGCAGCCAACTCGTTTTGGTAGTGGCCGCAAACAGATCAGATTTGATCAGCTTGACGTTGCCAAGCTTTCCGATCTGGCACAAACCAGTGCGTAATCAGACTTCAAGTAGGTGGATCAATACTAACGGCTGTTTCTCACAAATCCATCCAGTGTTAATAGCCATATAATCAATCTGAGCTCACATCTATGTCGGAGACGGGTCAAACTAAGTGGCGGAGTGATACTCTGGGTATCTAAAGTTCGTATTGACGAGAAACAGGCTGTGTTCCGAGCATATACTCAGAAGTCTATCCTCAGTATCTGAAAGATAGCTACCACGACCGAGATGAACCTCGTAAGCAGGGGACAGTCGGTTAACGAATGCACTAAAATCTCCATCCAGAATCACGATATCTTTCTTGGTTACTTTGAGAAGAAGTTCATGAAAGCTGTGATCGAAAGCATCTTTGACTGTATCCCGGCAACGATCTGTGGGAGAGCAAACAGAAATTACAAACAAACGCCGTTCTTTTTCGTTCTTCTCATTGATCTTACTTTATCTTCGAAGTCTCACTGCCCATAGACTATCCTCGGCCCTGACGGTTAGGACAATATCCACGCCTACTTGAACCCACGCTAATTTGACAGGGTACCAAGAAACGCGACAATGAAACGCTTCATTTGGGTTGGAATAAACCGTCAATAAAATTGCTCATTTTGGATACGAAAACGTGTTTCAAAGAAGCAACACACATCAATCTCTAGACTCGCAAGCGTACGAGCCAAACGTACTCGCTGTCTTATATGCACTGAGGATCTTACCTTAAACGAAGCCATTTTGAACGCCAAGTGATGTCGAAGGAATGGAACCGTAGGTTCTAAATGAGAAAACTTGGCTGAGGTAGATGTCGAGGAGGACAGTGGTGAGCTACATTAACCTACTTCAGTGAAACAGTGGATAAAGTGGGGCTGTTGTGTTGGATATTAGTGAAATTACTGCCAGTAACTTCTGAGAAAAAGAATCTTCGCATGAGTATAAGTCTGAGAAATATGTAAATTTGTAGGACCATGATTATATTGTGGGCATGGTACTATCTGGCTACCCAGGCCGAGGTAGAAGGTTTAATTTAGAAACCCTGTCCGGAGCCCTTGGATAAATAACCTGACCCGTAATTCAGCGGAGTGAAGTACGGAGTCCAAGATCCTCTAGGATCCGCTGACTGGTGGACCAGTTCATACGCCTTTCGGATGTGGCCATTGGGCTAAACGCTTGCCGGTGAGCGTCATGGTGGTCGACGTTAAAGGTAAACTTTAGAAACCAGTTCGAGTTGCGCCGAGGATTAGTGCCACGCCACGCACGAATGGTTTGAAATCAGGTTTTCAACCAACTCCATTAGACTGATTATCAACGATCGGTCAACCCAGTGGAAAGCGCCGGGCGTTCGCCCTTGCCCTCCCACTTTAGTGTGATCATTACTGAACAACGGAACGTAATTTATTTTCTGATTCAAAAGCTTTAAATTAAAACGATTGTCTATTTCTCGAAAAGATAGTCTGAAGTGTTACAATTGCCGTGGTGGCGGATATGTTGCAAACATGGGTTCACATATTAAGCCAATAGTGTAATGCACCAACTCCCCCCTCTCTCTCCCATCACATTTAACCTTATGACTTATTTACCCTTGATCTTTGGGTTTGGATTAACAGGTCCAAAACTTTCTAGTGAAGTGTTATATTGACCCGATCCGTGATTTTTCATCCTCATTTTTAACATAGCCTCATTCTTCGTATCCGCGAGCCGGTTTGCACCAATCGAAATTCATTTTGCCAAGTGAATCTGGATCTGGGACCCGGTTGGATTCCTCGAAACACAGCCAGATTACCGTCTATAATGAAGGACACCAGTCTGATTGAATGCAAGCGAGACCCCGTCGACGCGTCACCTTTTCGAAGTTACTTTTTGGACTGGAACAATGGATTTTTGGTTGGATTGGATCAACTCGACGGTTACGTTTATGCTTCCCGTTTGACCTACGGTGAGTTTGCTTTTGTTTCTGCTGTAACAGTGCCTATTATTCATTCTTCCGTCTGCGCTGGAACCTGAAGATTGCGGGTTTGCGAAATGTAATACCGAACTCCTAAATTACATTAAAGACGGTAATAACGTTTATAGCTAGGCGTGTTGGTTAGATCTTTTTATGCGCTGTTCAATACTGCATTTTTTGTTATACAATCATTCTGGACGACCAGATTTCACTCACGTATTTGTCATCAGACATACGCATTGGTTCGAGTTATTGAGGAGTGGGGGATAGGGGATGATTTTGTTTAGTTTCGAGTGATAATCATTTGAGACTTAATTTTCTCACGAACTGCTTTTGTTATCAAAGGAGTAAGGATTATTCAAGCGAGGCTGAACGCTTCTACTGGGATCAAGATATCTCTCCTAATCCTCTCAGATAGAAGACTGCGAACTGAATAGCGGAAGCAAACGGTATCAGTCCCGTAATCACATGGGTTGACTCCACTGGATATGAGACTAGTGAACTATTGATGCATCTGGTCACTCCACCATTGAGTCGCGCCAAATGTGGTTTGTAGACTCGTTCAGATAAATGACTGTCCCGTGCATTCAATATACCCTGGCCCACAGGAACTGTAAGAAACTGCAAATGTGCAATTTATCTTTGACTTGGAAATACAACAGCTGATTAAAGACAAGCAAAATGTTTTCTCCTCATAACTGTAGATAGTTTACGCGTTATAACCTGGTTACTGGTTACACACTTAAAGTTATCGATGTTTCCACTGATTACTTCCCAACGCTCATACCCATCACTCGTTCTGAGTAACCGTTTAAAATGAAAACTTCCCGGATAAATCTCAATATCTTCCGTGTATATGCTCTTCACCCTGGGGACTAGCTGCTGAATTCCTGTCTGTCCACTTCCGATTTATCATTGACGAAGATTCACTTCACGCTCCTTCCCACTTTAAATACACTCTGTCCACTCCGTACCCATCACTATGAGCTTCGTAGTCTTCAGCCCAGCTTTCCCAAGCCTAATTTAATGCTCGTTCATCATTTGTTTTCCCCTCTGAACTGTGACCTTTGTTCGGTGATTAACGAACAACTGCCATGCCAGCAGCCATCGCCAATCAATAAAATGCGACCGGGAGCCTTGTGTGCACCATGAATTACTTTTTGAATATGACGTACGTGCAATTTGGCATTTAATACGCATGGAAAAACACCCAACGGATTGTGATGCCGACCAGATTGAATTTGATTTATTTCGCACACGATCAAAGAATACCAAATTTTTCCGAATATCCACCGAGTGTGAGGAACACGATTTCAGTGCATGCTAGATAAATCACCGATTGGGGTTAGTTCAGTCCTGAGTACACTTCAAGTAGTTGATTCTCATTGAACTGAACACAGCACTGGGCAGCTGTGGAGAGCTATAGAGAGTGAACCGTTTCCATGCTTGCATCCCGCTCAGCTCGTAGGCCTTTGCGAGAATTTTTGAATTTCCCTTGTGGAGGAGCTTTATATTGTTCCTTTTATCCGAAACATGTAGGTAACTATTTTGGAATACTGCAGATTAATATCCATTATTCGTCAGTAGCCGGGTTGTATTTCATTTGTGAAATTGAGACAAGCTGGTTCTCAATAAACTTCATTCATAGTTACGCATACCATCGACCTGATGGTGCACACTGCCTAGCGAAATGCGACAAAAGCAAATTAAAGTATAGAGTATCAAGCTTGGATTAGCCCATTCGACTGTTCAGAGGCGCCAGACACTCTTGCCGGTATCCAAACTTGATACTCTAGATTGATTGAGCTATTCACGTAAGGCGTTAACCGTGGACCGTGTAGCTCAGGGGTAAGGGTTTGAAATCCCAACTCGACTGATTGCGGTTCAGGTACTGACAGGGCACAAAAAGTATGCACTGTTGACGATTCCCAAACAGGACGAAACAGCTGTCCAGTGCTCTTTGTTGGCTATCACAAACAAATTAAAGTATATTTAAGACATTTAATATGAACACTCACATACAGTGTTGTTCCAACGTTAGGTGTAAAAAAGGCGAGTGGGTTTTGGTCAGAAGAAAAACTAGAAAATAATTAGCGAATTGGCACATTTTTAATCGACTTATTTATGGTTTATCTTAAATTTGGTTAAAAAGGGATTACCATTGGGTAAACGGTTTTGATGGATGATATCTTATGGGAATGTTTTTCCACTGTTTAGCATTGGTGTTGGAATACTCCCGAAATATTTATTATGACTTGAATGACAAATCGAACATTGACTGGTACGAACTGAATTTTCTCCGGGGTTTAATCGCATATAGTTTGTTTGTCGCGATGGAGTGAACGGGGTTAATTTGGAAAGGTGTGAAATAGTAATGGGTAAACAACAACCGGATAAAATGCATACAAATGTCTAGTATAGTGGATTAAAGTAACACTTCAGTAATTTCACTTCACTAAGCGAAAAGATTTTTCTGTATTGTTAAAAAACACTGTTCATGTCATAGATCAAAGCCTGAAATTACGTGACTGGTGAGAAAATACAAACACATCTTGTCCCAATAAAATGTAACCTAAATCCAGTGAACTTTGTAGATCGTCTAATTTATTGTCCGGTTGCACAAGAAAGATTACTATAAATTTGAGGGAAAGTCAACACGTGATTTTAAAAAAATAACGCACAAAGCCAAGACATCCATTAAAGTTTTCTTTGAAGTGAATAGTCCACATGTGTTGTATGACTAGAGTAGGTTGTACATATTTTCATCCGCCTTGATTGACGCGCTTGATCGCTCTCCCCTTCTCCGTCTGATTTCAACGTGTAACACAATTCTGGTTCAACCGATTTTGTATGAACTCATGTATCTGGCTTTTACCCGAGAGATCGTCTGCCGTATTACGCACTACTGTGTGACAAGGAGACGACTTGTAGGTAAAACTCAACCTCAAGCAATGGAAACGTAAGCCCACGAAACCTGGAGCGTGAACCCGCATAGCACCTCACTGTGATAGAAGTTGCATAAGGCTAACCACAGACTGAGGTAGCGACAGCAGGATTTGAATGTTGTATCGCATAGCCCAGACAATCGGTGCCATTAGCAGCAACTGACCATATCCATTACTATGAAGACATTACTAATCCTTTTATTAAGCAATTTCAGTCGATTTTGTCAGAGTTGTACCTGCTACAGATTTGACTGTTTTTCTTCAAGTATAATCATGCCCTAATGGTGACCGTAAGAGTTTCAAAAATGTAATTTGAGTAACGGAACTTTTGTGTGATGGCAGACAAGGAGTACTTGATAGTTGTTTTGTCCTCATTGGGACTCCTTGGTCGTCAGATTGTACATTTTGTCTCCCCACCGAGACTCGAACTACGGTTTGTCGAGTTGATCATTCAAACCCCTAATCCGGAGACTGTGGAGATAGGAATGGGCTCATCCGAACCATAACAAGCTAAATAACTTTCATCAATCATTTTGTTACCAGTTCAGAAAGGTATCGGCGAGTTTGATTCCCCTTCTGATGACGTTTCTGTTGAATCAAGCCCCCGTTGATGAAGTGGACCCAACACTGATCAACCAGGAGCATGTGGAGTACAAGAGAGACCGCGAACGCAAGCTGAGTAAGTGCTTGCAACTCAAAAACACTGAGGCACCGGAGGAAGAAAGACAAATATAGAGGTCGACCATAAATGGATCGAGGAAACTAGTAACAACTGTGTTTGATCCACAGAAGCACAGATAAAATATCAAAAGGAAAAATACCCACATGTATAAAGTTGTTCTTTAGATGTAGCCGTATTCACTATAGACTCAGTTTGATGAATATTTTTAATGCAGCGTTCAGAGTTGTTCTTTATTTGTTCACAAACGATGAAATATCGAGAATCGGAAACTATTGGAAATGTGGTTGCTTGTATGAATAGCAATTCGCTGTTTTACTTCCTTTTCTATTTAACGAGTATAACAATTTATAGTCAAAATTTAGAAAGAGAACTGCAGCCATATAAAGACTATCTGGTGAATTACATAAGTGCGACCGATAGGTAGCGATGGCGTGATTCAAACCCGAGACCTCCAGGTCACTATTAAGCCTCAACCACTGTATAACCACTGACAACAGAGAAGATAAATTTAATATATATAAATATATATAAATTTAATGAAGACACAGAAAAACAATGGTAAATGCCACTACCGAAACGGGATGGGGTCCGTTAATAAAAAGTATCTTTGTTGACAACCAAAATTTGCTTTTTGGTGTTAGAAAAAATTACGCTACATACGGAAAAGTGACCATTGCTTTACGAGGAAACTACTTCCATTGCATTTATGATCTAACTGAATTTTCGTTCAGCTCTTAGTTGAGTTTTTTTCTGGCATCGATGATCCAGCAAACGATCCACCACATAACGTGACCGTAATTCCGCTTGTGAATTATTCAGCAAGCTGGACATGTTGGTTATTTTCCGGGACAACAATGTTTGAAACAGATTGCAAGTGAAAAGAAAATTGAGAATTCCTAATTAAATACATGAATCTGTCACTTCTGTCAAATGTGGATTTCACAATACTCAGGGAGTAAAGTTCTGTATAAAAACGCGCTTGTCGTGTCCAGTCATGACCGAACGGAAAATCGCCTTTGGACTGATATTGAGATTGTTGCTTTCCACGCAAATTCATCGGGACTCTTTTGAAAAATAGTTATGAATAAATCACAACAAGCGCAAAGAATCGCTGTTGATAAATAAAGTCTGCACGGTTTTGCTTCATTCCTCCTATGCCGATTGCTCGCACTGTCCTTTATTACGATATTGTTTATCAACATAGAATCAGACATTCCTCTACCAGACTGCGACAGGAGTTTGATTTATTTGGTCTATTCATTTCGAGATTTTATTTCGCAAAAAAGCTTCTGCAATTTGCTACTACTACCGTTTCGTTGGAAATCACGTGATGCTTTTTCAAATCAGTACGATGGACTTTGAATTGTTTGACATTGTACTATCTTAAATCACTTTTGACCAACAATTCTCCCTCGTAATCATACTTTGTACTGAAATTCTGCCATTCATCTTGTGAAGGTTCGGTGTTCAGTTGTGTTCTTGCAACACAGTCGCTGTTGGATGTGTGACGTATGCACCAGGAGACGGAGGAGGGGATGAAAAAGTTTAGGGTAGGAATACCTTGACAAAGGAGTCACACACACAAGCACATATCAGGATAAGAGGGAAATTTAAGAATATACTGATTTCTATAAGATATTTATCTAAAACATTCCAATGGCTGTTTGTGAAATTGACAGTGATTGCACAGGCGATTAATCAAAATATTCACCTCCAACAATGGATACACGACAAAGCACATTTCTTGTAATCAACCAAGCTTAGCCTTAGTCTTCAAAGATTCTCAGTTGAATGCGAGTGAATTGCCGATCGGTGTGAAGTTGAGCAGTAATTAATTTGCTTGTAGAATAATATGCGCGATTTAGACCAAACATGCATGCGGGAAACTCCTCATGGTTTCTGTTCCGTGTTTTTCTGTCGACTAACCGGTGGCCTCCTTCAGACTCTATCCTAATACCGTCAGTGAGAAGACCCATAAGCAGTACATCAATCTCTTCATGCGTGTGCATTTCCCTCGAGGGATGCAATCTTATAGTTGGCACTAAGCCAAAAGTCGTCCTCTATCTTCGGATCGGTGGCTATCAATCATGACAATCTGACAATCTCCGAACATTATGTGCAATCAAAGTTGGAAAGTTTGGTTTAACTAAACCATGGACGAAGTATTAAATTTGTACTCCACTGACGAAACATCATTCATAAAGATATCACGTTTTAAAAAATACGCTAATCAGACTTGATTGTTGCATGATCCATTCATTGTCCATGACTAATAAGCTAGAAAAATGCCTTTATTGCAAGCTACTTGATCAATAAAAGAAATAAACAGCTGTTTCGCAAACCTCAGCCTTGGGTGGAAGAAACTGCAAGAAATTCTTTGTTATTTTGCGGGAAACAGAAGTTTCCCAACAACTCAAAACTGCCCTGGAGCTCATTGTTGCATAACTATTGTGTAGTTGTATTTGTTTAACTTTTGCAAGCTGAGATATACTAACATTTCAGTTAAAAATTGTACACTGGTTGAAACACCGGAGAAAATATAGAAGTAAAGACAGATCCAATAAATTGTCGTGTAAAAAAGTCTCCGAAGTTTGATTTATTCAAATGAAAATGGACGTAATCAATTTATAACTCGTTCTTTGTTGGTCAAAATTCGAGCCAGATACGGTACAATGGAGTTTTTATAAATATTTATTCGAAAGGTAGATACCGATCACAGGAACAAGGGATCAAGTGGGATCGACAAGATAAGTCAAGATGCAAAGGATGGCGGGGGTCATTTAGAATCTCACTGGCAAACGTCATACCAGACTTCATACGACTATTAATAACTTCTGTGAATAGGGACTTGGCAGGAATTAAAGATACACAGCTAACCATCGTCAATCCACGACGGACAGTTTTAAATTCTTGTTTCAATAGACCGAGGAACACTACAGAGGAGCAGTAAAGTAAGTAAAGACAACCTATCACCCCTGCAGCAAGCACTCTTATTTCCATAGTTGGTATATGAATGCAAAATCTTTAGCCAGCGATTTGTTTACCGCAGGAAATGAATGACTTCAAAATCCAACCACCTGTCAACGACTATATTTGCGTGATCATGAAAGGTTATCGTTGCCTGTGGAAAAGGAATTTCCTTAATTATTGTTCGTGTCAGTCATAATGATCATACCCATCGAACTGGTATAAATATGATAAAGGAACGAACGTATGACCTCTCACTCAGCAGTGGATTTTAAAAAGTTCGAAATGTATCTCGGATTCTTTTCTTTCATCGGGATTAGTCACGCGTTGAGGTAATTCGAATGAGGGCAGTCGATCGGCACAGAAGAAATGGTCTGCTGTGTGATCAACTTCGTTATGCAATAATTATGTCTAATCCAAAATGTAAGATGACTTTAGTTAGGGAAGTTGACCACTCCCTCCGTGGCTCTTGCGGCAAATTTTGGAGCTAATTTAAGGCTACAGGGTTAGTAACAAACTATCCGATAAATGTCCCTTTATTACATGGGAAAAAATAGAAAATCAGCAGCCATCTTAAAAGCAGATTGTGTTTTAGGTATTGCTGCAAATTCATTGGTTCAGACGTACATCGCATGGAAATGATGATGTTTCTCTTTATGTAGAATGCCATCGACTGCTAGTTCGATTGACACTTCAGACGGGATACATATCGACCTATTTCAGTGTAAAATTTTTCCTCCCATTGATAATGATAATTTCGTCTATTCCGCACGAAGGCAGCCGTCTGTGTGTGATTGAGCTAATTGTTTTCAAATAGTTATATGCGCAGAATGGTTCCAGTCATTTGTGTAATTTTTGAGTGACTTCATTTTTGAGTGCCCATTTCGACTGACATAAATCTTTATTAAATGTTTCATGTCTCTAGATTTCTTCAATTTATAAAATNCCATACAGCGAAAGGATTCCTATCTAGCCGTTTTTCCTCACAGTTCACTGCTCCCAAACAGATTTATGTTCTCCATTTCTCACCCGAAAAATGCCTCTTTAATGCACAGCGATTTCACCAGCTCTGTCATTTTTGCCTCTATGATATAGTACTATTTGATTCTATTTGCTTCTAGGACAATATATTCGCAGAAACGGAGATCCAATCGTTGATTTGTTGGATTAGCTAATAGCGCTTAATGAACGGTGATTAATTAATCTAAACAAATCGACACGGATTGTTTACCTCTAATTCCGCAATCCTAATGTTTTGGTAAAGTAGAAAACAACCTTCCCCCACCCTCGCTCCAAACAAGTGAAATCCACGGAAACAACGGTGGTGAATGCATCATTTCTTCCTTCATACCCACCCACCCATCCACCTACGTCTCCCCGGTATAGAAATAGGCTTGTTGACAATGTCAACCGGCCAAATCGGTTTTCTTTCACCAAATTGTTGTANGTAAAAGAATCAAGTGAACACAGCACACTTTCTGTTGCAAACAAACAACGAAAAACAATTTTCAGATTACTTCACCAAATCTGAAGCACGTTTACTCATTGGTTGAATACCGATCGTCTTTTGTGCTTGGGGAAACAAGATTTATTGACATGTTACGTTTGTTGATTGGAATAGATACCGTAGATACCGTGGTATCTTATTATTTTGTGTCATGTCTGTTCGATTGATCAAAAATATATGAAGGAGCTCAGCCAACATTATAGAAACGATATGACAATGGACAGTCATCGATTACGTTTGGGTGAACCCAGCTCCTGAAAGTTCGCCCATTCCGCACCTATCAAATGCTTAGTTCTTGTGACTGATGTTAGCGTAATGATCAACAAAGGATGCTCACTCTGTCCTTTGCGAATACAATTTCTGGGATTTTGCTGGGATTTGATCCGCAAACCTTCCAGTCAGGAGGTGAAGGCCTTAATTCTGATTCGAACGGAATAAGGCCCCCTTAACCTGTAATTTACGGATCCTGGTGTCTGATTGTTCTTATCTGTCATATTCGATATGGCTTGACAGGCAGCGTACA